ATCATCATGGTACAGCGAAATACAGTAAAGCGAATTTCACTGATCGCTGCCAAACTCGTAATGCATTCAAGATTAATGGTAAAATGTAAGATGGACAGGTATTGGACCTAGTTTGAGGGAGGGGTAAGAATGTGAACCTCTATTGTCAACACAGAATGCACAATCGGACTCTGCTCACATACCGTTTCAAGCATTCTGAGCTGATAAGAAACGACAACAAGAACGCCTTTGCTGTCGGTTCACTGCCATATTTTTCAATGTCTCTAACCAACCAGTTGTGGAGTCTTTCGGACCCCAACCTGGAAGGCGAGACACCTACTCTACCTAATGCATTTCTTCATGCCTCTTCTCCACGTCATCTGTTGACCTCTACGTGGTTTCCTCAAGCCCGGATTATCTACAGTGAATAAAGCGCGGTACGGCAGCCAATGGTTGGGCATACGCAATATGTGCCCTAGCCAGCGAAGTCTACTAGTCTGAATTCGGTGAGGTAGCAGGTTTATACCTGGAGGACTCCTAAACACACGACGGCTTACCTCCACGTTACTAACCCGCTCGCTCCATTCAATGTGAGTTAAACTACGTAAACACCGATAATCGCAAACTTCAAGTCGACGGATATCTTCCACTCCTAAATCCAGGATCTCACAACCATAAAGCAGGACTGAAAGAAAGGAAGCACAATATGCACGACTCTTCAACTTCAGTGAACCGTCGCGTTTACGCCAAAGGTGTTTCACTCCTGCGTATGCTGCTCGAGCCTTGGAAATGCGGAAGGTTATCTACTCTGCTGCGCTTCCGTCATTGGTCACGCAACTACCTAAGTAGGAAAAATAATCCACCATAACTAAATCCTGACCATTTAGTTTCAGAGCGGGAGTAGACAAAATCCAATCCTGCAGCATCACTTTGCACTTTGAAGGTGCAAAGGGCATACCGAATGTGACAACTGCACTTGTTAGTCTAGCAAGTGCGCTTTGCGCGTACTCCATACATTCGAGCAGACAGACGATGTCATTGGCGTACTCAAAATCGCATAGCTTTTCTCCAGATGCCCATTCAATGCCTACGTTTTGAAGACCGCTTAGTTCACTCTCCAGTATTTCGTCTACGACGAAATTGAATAGGATCGGCGAAAGAGGGCACCCTTGACGAACTTCGCTGCTGGTGACAAATGGCCTACTTAATTCATCATAAACCCTTACACGACCGGAGGTATGTGAGTACAGTGACCTCAGTAAGTTAACGTACTTCTGGGGCATTCCTTTTCGAAGAAGAAAGCCCATCAGAGCTTCGCGGTCAACTGAGTCGAAGGCTCTTTTCAGGTCAAAGAACACTGCGATCGTTGGCCGACAGTGGGTTTGACGCAGCTGAAGGATGTGATGCAACATAAAAATCTGATCAATGCATCCACGGCCAGGCCGGAATCCGGTTTGCTGTTCACGGATGTTGGTCTCTCTTAAAGGCGTCAAACGTCGAAGTATAACCGAAGCTAGCACTTTGGTGACGATCGGGATGCAACTTATCCCGCGGTGGTTTTCGCAACTGTTGCGGGATCCTTTCTTAAAAATGGGAACGATCAGTGATTCGCCCCAAGATGAAGGAATGTGCTCTTGCATCCAAATGTTGCGCAGTATCGTAGTAATAGAGGTTACGAGGTAATCACTTCCCATCTTGAAAAGAGTGGGAGGGGGCTCATCAGGTCCTGCTACCTTTCCTCGCTTCAGAGATTGAATGCAAGACCGAACTTCTGCTTCCGTTGGAGGATCGCATCACACTGCCCACGGAGTTTCAGTAGGAGATGAAGCAGCCTGGTTAGCACTAGGCCAGCTATTGTTCGCTGAAGTATTCGGCCCAGCGATTGAGTCTTTGATCCCTATTGTGAGTAGCTAGTCCCCTCTTATCGCAGACTGTTTCACTAACTGGAGTTCACGGTATTGCGTATCGGTTGGAAAACTCTTTGACTATTCCCTGATGCGGCTGCTACTTCCATTTCACTAGCTATTGTTGCCCACCAGTTCTCACGGTCCTTCTTGAGGTTCTTCGTGATCTGACGTTGTAGATGCCTCCTAACTCTTTTGATCCTGGCAGGTCGGAATTTGTCATTTTTGCTGCATCACGGCTACTGACTCATCAGATATCCAATGCCTCCGGCAGACTTGAGGCTCAGACCCACAAGTTACATTCCCTGTGGAATGCATTGCTCGCCTACTCTGATCCCACTGCTCGCCGACATCAACACGCTGAGGCGCAGTTAGCTTAAGCAATAGCTGTGACTTATAGAGTGCACTAATTGCTGGAACAGACAGTTAACGATGTGCTATCCGAATTTACTGGTTTTGTCGCCGACCAGTTAGTCCGAGAGTGAAGTGCATCAAAACGAATGCGTGGTCAGATTCAACGCAGGTGGTTCAATAGGACCTCCAATTTTGCACTGAACCACGCCAACGGTTACTTATTGCTATGTGGTCGATTTGGGTTAGCGTAACAATTGAACTGGAACGCCATGTTGCAGTCCGTCGAGAGATGTGTCGGAAGTTGGTGCTTGATAGGAAGAAATGATGGTTTGCGCAGAACTGAAGAAGTCGATCGCCGTTTTCTGTTCGTTGGCTGGGCAGAGCACAACTACCGCCTAGGCAAGCTTCTGATGCGCTCAGTTTTCCAACCTGCGCGTCGAAGTCACCTGCAAGTACAACTATGTCGGAGCTTAGTCGATGAATTCACAGTGCTGATGAGACCCAACCAGGTCGAAATAACTTTACACGACGAACTTCAGCACGATCAAACCAAATCCTCTTCAACTATCATATAAAGTACATTTTCAAGTGTTTGTCGGTCTCAAGTACCATGTGGTAGGGGAAACCTTAATTGATTGAACGCTGACCTATTGAGTGAGTGTGCACGTTGGCGCGTGTTTACATTGCCACGAATTATGGTGAAACCGGGTGAAGTGAGTACCAATCGAGGATGAATTGAAGGAATATGCAAATAATACGGATCAGCATGCAAAGCATGATTTGTTCACAATGGCTCTCCGGAATGGACACAAACAACAACTCAGTTGCTGAATAACGTGGATACTTTTTACGCAGTTGGCAATTCCTTTTACAGTCTACTTGGGCCTTTATATCATAAAAAACATTAGGAAATCATCTTTTTCTAGATCTAACCCATATGTGTTGGACCACACGTTTCTATACGTTGTAACGTGGCTGATCACGAACAGAATTAGGGGCTGTTAGCACTATGCTTTGATTTTGCGGTAATCCTAGCCTACGGGATAACGCCAACTACGGAGCGGCGCGTTGCAGTTTCTGGGCAACAGTGGTGAGTCAACCTTTCCAGCTGACGCCAGTCACACGCCTTCGCATTTCGGTTTCTGGACCACGAACCACGGACGAATCATGCCGACCAATCAGAAGTCGTGCGGCCAAGACAGAAGAATACAAGCGCTTGTTGGATACCAGGATAACCAATAAATGTCTTTTGTGGATGTTATTTAATTCCCTTGATTTATTTCAACAAATGAACTGCTACTTCATTGGCCTTCTCCTTTCATCTCGGTTGCGTGCGATACCAGCGTGCAAGTGTTAGTGTGATTTATTGTTTCCGTTGCTTCCGTGGTATGTGGTGATTCGTAATTCGTAATCTTTGCCTGTTCCTACTACTATATATTTGTCTTAATGAGTCAGCGTCGTCTAACCGAGGCGAATGATTTCGGTTTGCAGAGTTATTGGTAACAAAAAACATGAAATCATGCACACAGAGGAATATAGCACAAATAGCAATCACCAAGCAACATTTACCTGGAAGCAGGACTGGCTTTAGTTAAAGCAAGTTCCGGTTATTCCGGATCAGTCATTATACGAGGCAACTGGACTGCATTCAAATTATTTTAAAGCTTCCAATCAAAGGTTTCAGAATTTCAAAGACTGTCAAAACATTTAGGTTTCTACGTTGACTACCGAT